ATATTATTCTCTCTGGCTTTAGGAACCAGCATTTCTACTTTTTAAACCTTCCTGTGTGACTGTCATGTGTACCCAGGGCTGAGAACACTGCCCCAGGTAAGACTGTGTCACTATTTGGCCTGGCAGTAATGCCACCATCCAATGCCAACCTACCTTCCCTTTTCCACTTCTAATACTCTTATCCTCTACTCAAATTCTTCTGATCATCATTCACAAAGAGAGTTCATACTATGCCAACTTTTCTGTTGTCCTTGACTGCCTCGCTGCCTTTCTAAATTTTTTGTCCTCTTTGGAGTTTAGTTCAAACCCTTCCTCTATCACCATGTTTGTTTTCTCTCTCCCTTATTCTGAGCTTGCTATTTACAGCACTCTTGTGCTATTTAATTATAAACTGCCAATGCCTTTGTCATACTTAGTATTCATATTAATGAAAAAAATTTAAATCATATAATTTCCCCCAAATAAACTCTAAACTTGTTAGAGAAATGTTTACACTGTTAGACTTCTGGATAGAAAAAATCTACACTGTCTAGAAAACCCCCATACTGTCTACTATGAAGTCTCCTACAGAAGTGGTGCACAGTATATATTTGTTGTTTTGATTGAGTGGAAATCACCTCTTTGGTAAAACTGAACCTTTGTAAAAATCTTCTTGTGCTTTTCAGTCAGGGCTCTACCACTCCCCAAAATATCTCTTTTCCATAAAATTTGGAATCTGAATTTGTGCTGTGAGTCTGCCTAGTATTAGCCATGTGACCTTGGATAATTTAACATTTCTGAAGCTGGGAGTCTTTGATCTCTAAAATAAAGATAATAAGGATTCCTCAGGGTAAATATGACACAAGTATAGTGTGAGCTAATAAAATATCACTATTACTACTTCATTTCCTCAAGAGATCACATATTTTATAATAATCCTTTCCTAATAATTTCCTTCATGCTCTTTGATCATAAATACAACTTCCTCTATATTGGATAAGATTAACAAAAACTGTTGCTTATAACTCTTTTTCATTACCTGTCCCTTAATATGCTCCACAGCTCTCCACCCAAGCAGGCCTCCAGAAGCATGTATACATATTTATTATCCTTGAAAGTACGATATAATCTGTGAAGACAAATTAAAAATACGGTTATTATTTGAAATATAGTTTTAAAATCTTTTCACATTTATTTAAGAGTATTATTTTGAACAATGATCTTCATCTCCATGCAAATATCCTACAACTACACTGGGCTTCTTGCCAAAAGCTCTTTCATCTTTCCTACTGTCTTGCATTTGCCTCCATGGATCCCTTTCCTCAGCCTGCCCTCCCACTTCCCACAGACTGAACTACTTCATCTTAGTGTCATTGTAAAAGATTTATCTATTCTTCAAGGCTACCTTTTTAATAAAGCAGCTCCTTATCCCACCCAGCCACCAAATATGGCCTTTCCTTCCCTCCAGAAGCCACCAGCCTCGATCTATGTCACCTTGCATAATAGCTATTCATGCCCATGCCTTTGTCCCCTAACTAGTTAACTGGTATTGGAGTCCCCTGAGACAGACTTGTAAGCAGTACCTCTGATGGGGAGGGCACTTAGGAACAACACACCGGAGAGGAAGGAAATGGACTGGGCAGAAAGAATAGAGCTAGGACTTGACATCTGAAGCTCCACCTTCAAGGAGCTCCGGTGCCCTGGATGGGAATGTACAGGAAAGAGGTTGGTGGGAAGGTGAGCTGAGCAGGAATCCCCAGCTGGCAACACTACCGGGAGCTGGGGGAGAGAGCCTCCATCCTGGAGTGGGGCCTGGGCAGGGGACCATATTCAACAGGGGTGCAAGGAGCTCCTGGGTCTCTCCTTTTCTCCCTAGCACCATGTGTAGGCTAAGGCTGACAGGAGAATAGCCAGATCTGCAAAGGGTGAAGTAGTTCTAAGAACGTGGTTCTGAGTGGGCTCTATAAGAACGGTCCAGACTGGAATGCTCGATCAGACACTTACTAGTTATGCAATTCAGCTTTCTCACTAAACATACATATTCATTTGATTGCATATTATGTATGATAGGTATTTATTGAAAATATATTCCTTTGATCCTACTAGACCAGTGGGGTAAATCTGATGACTTTCCTCACTCCCTCTATGTATATGGCTTAGAAGACAGCCTGGTGCATGTTCATCTCTCAATCCAATACATGTTGTTACTAATATTTATTCTTCATATTATTATTTCCCTATGAATATGCCACTTTACAAAGAGCATGAAAAGCAAAAATGAATACAACCTAATCCATGCCCTGAAGCTGCTCATTATGAATATTAATTCAAAAAGGGCATTCTGGGGCCATCATTAAAATAAAGATAATTGGATAACTATTGCCAGCAGGGACGGGGTTCAGACTTCTTTTTTAATCTTAAAAAAATATAACTCTGGGACCACAAATAGGTAAGAGGTTCTCTCAAGGCATTTGATCAAAAAGTAAAAATTCTCTTTATTATAGGGACAGAATCAGCCCCAAATCACTAAAACTACATTATGGGATGTTATACACCAGCTTATGACACTAACCCATGAATTCACATGTAAAGAAAGCTATGGCCTAGAATAATCTGGTTCTCCTCCAAACTCTGGTTATGGCTACAGGAAAAACAAAAGACAGAGAATAACTATTAACTCCTTTGGTACCTAGGCACTGCTAGGACAGGGTATGTCCCTTCTTGCAGTCAACCTGTATCCAAGTGCCACTTCCCACAGAAATTCAACACCAGCACACCCTCTGAGTGGGTATGGGTTTCTCTATTCCCAAAGTCTACATTAGGTTTAGATAAAATAATTACTTCAAATTATTCTGCAATAATTTTATGCTCACACATCACACACACACACAAATACACTTTTGTAAGGGTTACTCAAGAGGAGAAACAACTGGGAACTCTAGGCTCAGATCTCACTGGAGAATTTAGAAAGGAGCTTCCTACTCCTCTTCTTTCTGTCCTCTTACACAGCAACATTCACAAGAAGAGCCTGCAACTCCAGAGCTTAGGGAGGCAGAATGCTCATTTACTTCACAATGAACGGAGAACACAGCTCTTCCAAGATCCTCTTCTCAGAGTAGATGTGCTCCTGCTGCTTGGTGTCCACTATGTGCTTCTTCCTTATGCACTTCATAGCAAAAGCGACATTCTCGTTTTTTACCTTGACCTATGTAAGAAACAGAAAGACACTCAGAAGGAACTTACCAAAGCAAGGAAGATCTGCAATCTCTATTTAAAACATTAATTAATGAGAGCTAAAATCATTTTGTATTTAAATAGTATTTAACCTCTTGCCCCCCCAAAACTGAGTTCTATATATGTGTACACATTTCCCTTTAATCATAATTTCCAAGACAGCTCAGAGATCTGGTTCTAAGGGAGTTTTTTTTGAAACAAGAAAAAATTCTGGCTAGAGACTTAATCTTTAGATATCTATTCAGATTTGCTTGTGCAACATGAAAAATTATGGCATGAATTGCCCCAAATTCTTATGTCTTAATCTTAATATTCACCTTTTTTATTTTTCAAAGCAAAACATATTAAGTCAATTCTGTGTCTGAATTATTCAGTAGAATAGTTACTAATCACAGGAAGTTATTTATTTATTTATTTATTGTGGTGCTGGGGATTAAACGCAGGGCCTTTGCACTGAGCGACATCCCCAGCCCTTTACATTTTTATTGATTTATTTTATTGAGACAAAGGCTTGCTAACTTGCCCAGGCTGGGCTCAAACTTGCTATCCTCTTGTTTCACATTTCCACAGTACTGGGATTACAAGCATGCACCACCATGCCTAGCAAATTTTACATTAATTAAAATCCAACATTCAGTTCCTCAATTGCACTAGCTACGTTTCCCACACTCAAGAGCCACAATGCCCTACTGACTACCCAACTGAATAGGATAGATGTAGGACATTTCCCTCAGTGCACATATGTCTATAGGACAGTGCTAGTCTAGATGCAAAATAAGAATTTTCCTTTAAATGGAAGCTAAGATTTAAAAATAAGGGGTTTTTTCTGACAGGTTTAAAACCCTATAAGCAGACTACACTAATCAAGTAACTAAGCTGTGCAAAAATAGGTGCACTCTGGATTTTGCTCACTGCCTACAACTTTTAAATCACTGGTGGAATTACTGCTTCAATCAGTGTCAAGGATAACAGATCACAGCACTGCTAATTCAATCCTTTTGCCATGATCTTTGGTGGCAAACACTACTGCGATGGCTAATGCCTTTATCTCTCCATATGGCATAGAAATATTACAAACATTTGTTGACCTATTAAAAAAATCATTTTCCCACACCCATCAGAGATGAGGTATGGGCTAGGTGTAGAGAGTACTATCTAGAGTCTCCAGCAGCAAGGTAGATCTGCTCCTGCCTGGGGCCATCAGCAGACAGAGGCATCCACATAGCTCCCAGAGGTCAGTACACACTGGATTGTTAGAAATATGCTGGGCAAAGAAGGGCTTGGTAATTGCCAAGGGCTCTGAGCCATCTGCACCCAATAAGCTACAGATTTCCCTTACGTAGTTTCCTCAGGATACTTGATCTGACAGTGCTGCTTCTGCTACTCCTTGAAAGCTGATTATTAAGCACAGACAGGTGGTGATGTGGAAGATACACCTGCAATCATCCTGGAAGTTTCCAGCTGTCCTATTCAACACAACAGAAGGCTGCTCTTCAAATGGCCTTTTGCATCATCTTCTATTTTTTTTCAGATGGAAAATTTTGAGCCACCCCATAATAGGATAATGAAAGCCAAACACAGACATGGTAGTGAGATGCTTAAGGAATATAACCATAATATTCAAGATTCAATTTCTAGATAATTTCTGCTGTAAACATTCTTCTATTCTTTAGATTATCGAAAGTTAACGTGTCGTAAATGTATACATTTATAGATACACATTTTGCTGATCAGAAATATTGTTTTCCTTTTTACAGCCTTGTGAATGCTTACTTGCTAATTCTCTGATAATCATAATCAAGAAAACAAATTCACCAAAGGGTTGATGTAAGAAGCTTGAACTATCAGCCAATTATTACAAGTTACTAGCGCAGATCTGCTACTATACAACATACAGATTGAAAAGTTTACTTTCTTGATTTAAGATCAAAACAATATTTGAGATAGCAAATATAATTCACATATTCCTCCAAGATCATCTGGAATATAAAACAAGAAAGTCAAAAGGGTTCTCTCAGATGCTTGAAACGTAAACCCCTTACAAGCTCAACTCTTCCGAACCCACCAACGCCCAGTGTTGCGATAATCTCAAGGTTCTGGAAGGGGGATGAGGAGGAAAATCTGGCCACCTTCTCCTTCAGCTGAATCATCTCCAGAGAGAGTGCTTTGGACAGCTTCCAGTTAGACATGGACCTCCTGAATGAGAGAAGCGAAACTTTACACTCATGCCGTTTTGTGGCACTTGAGCAAGTGCCACGTCTTTCACAAAGTCCACTCTCAGGCATCTTATTTCTGCCTGCAGCACTGCCTAGAGCTGCCATAAAAGCTATCTCAACTTTGATACAGTGGGACCAGATTCAGGCACATCTGGAGAGAAAAACAATGGAATATACAACACACACACACACACACACACACACACACACAACAGGAAATACCCAAAAGTCAAATTGAAATATTCCTCAATACAGCCATTAATAAATATACAACTCAGAAAAGGAGTGGATGGGAGGTAACAAAGGAGCCATGTCCATTGCAGCACAGACCAGAAAAGGCCATACCCAGAATCTTTGCATTCTTTTGCTACTTTTATTCGATTTTGAAGTTTTCCATGGCTTACCCAGAATAACTGCTTCGTGAAGTACAAAAAGCACATTTCTTACATTATGTCTATGTATTGTTTGGAAATATCTATTTTTCTCTTTTAATTAAGACTTACTTCTCTGAGTTATATATTCATAAGCTATGAGTGGGAAAGGATTCTGGCATAATATCACAAATGTATTCTTTGCAAAAAATATAGTAGGTACTGGTCAGATGCCCTAACTCAACCTTCAATCTTCTAGAAATTTTGATAATATAGCTTCAATAGCACTATCTGGTAAGCATGTGTTTAAGCTTTCACTCAAAAATATTTTAAGGGTTGGGAGTCTGGCTCAGTGTAGAGCGCTTGTCTAGCACATGCTAGGCCCTGGGGTAAATGCCCAGCACTGCAAAAGATAAAGACCTAAAATAAAAATTAAAAAGTTCTAGCAAATAATTTTCACTGAAAATAGATTTTCTGTTGAATTACAGCCCTACCCACACCACCCCCCACACACGTCAGTAGGTGGTAGCTCCCTTACACTTTGAAAAATTCTCACTATAACCCTATTCTTTGGCTATACTCAAGCATTAATGTCCTTTTGAGCTAAGTTACCAATGTTTCCTCCCTAAAAGTCTTACTCAACACCCAAAACAAAGTTGCTAACTGCTTATAAACTAAATCTCCATTCCAGTGCTAAGTAGTGTCTTGTTTGTGGAAGAACTATTACAAGCTACTACAGGCAATCTTATCCCTGTATCCCCTCCTTTATCTGCTGCCACAAGTCAAATCTAGGTAGAAAAATGTTCTCCCACTTACTTCGCATGTCTTTTTTCATCATCACGGTTCAGGTTTGCCACATACCCTTCAAGGTATTTTTGAAGTTCTTCAAATGTCCCAACAGTTTGGTTGAATGTTCTAAATAAATAAAATAAAATAAGGTGCTCTGTGCTGATACCAAGGCAACTTGACATTCTTCTTAAACTCATAAATCACTATTTGTATGGTTACTCATGGCTTTGTACGTTGTTTCAAATAGTTTATGGGTTATGAAAGGTGCTGTAATATGTAGACTAGTTACTAAAAGCCCCATAATTGATCTTTTGTTTATGAAAACAAAGAGAGCTATCAGTGAGAAAATACTGTCTATAGTTATCTGGCTTGCACTTCTGGTTTATCAACACTTACTTGTTTTGTTTTAAAAAGACAGTGGAAAGAGCACACATGATCCACCTACTGAATCAACAGGTTTGAGGGGTTATAGATTCTTCTAATGTTACTTAATTAAATTAAGCTATTTATTTTAAAGATCAAGGATAAAATTTATTTCTTCTTTGTCTCTGATAACTCTCCACATTTCACATCTTTCATAATTAAATCCATTTTTTTTCACCTTAACATAGTTCTGTTCTTAGTATTTTCCATTGCCCTCACTCACCCTTCTTAGATCATGGAGCTGGTGCTCACCTGATCTAAACTCCAGTCCCAGTCCACTATCCCTGAAATTTCTACATGCTACACTGCCCAAGAGAAAAATGAATTCCATTCCTCACTAGTGAAAAGATAATTGTCTTGATTGTACTTCCGGCGACTCCCCATACCCTCTTCTAACAATCGACCTTGATTTGTGAGTTTTAGGGTATTTCTCTTCCTTACTACAAAATAGTGTCCTTGAAAGCACAGACCATACTTTAATCATTTTGGTAACATTTTAAGGACCTAGTACATAGTCGAATGAAAAGAATTAGAATTTACCTCAAAATACTCAAAGCTAATAAACCAGTACCACAACGGACTCCCACAACTTCCTGCCTCTACACACACTTAACTGACAGCCAGTCCATCTCTGCATTATTCTCAGTGTATTGCACACTAGGCAGAGTCTTCTAATAGTGCTCCCCACTCTTTTCTACCCTGTTGTTGGGACAGACCTTTGCTGACTGCAGAGTAGTGAGACATAAAACATATCCAGGACAATTCTAATTTCCATAACAGCTGAAATTTTCAAATAAAAAGGAAATGCTATTTGTACTTTTTGCTTTATTTATTCCTTGTTTCACAATTATTTTGCTACTAAGCTAATCAAAGCATTGTTTCAACAAATTTTATTTTTTAATGCAAGTCATACTGGTGCCACAAGTCCCTAGATGTTGCCTGCTAACTAACCTTAAAGCCAAGTTCCAACAGCTACAACATTCTAGCTGCAACTTTAAAACAGCCAGTATTCAGTCAGATGTTAGAGCCCCAAGAGTAACTAATCAACTCCTTTGAGATTTGTCCAAACAATCTAACAAGGATGGATTTGTGACCAATAACAAACACTTGCAATTTGCTTAGAACACTTACCACACTATTATTTCACATCTTCTATCAAATTTAAAAAATAGTAAATATTAGCTGGGTGTAGTGGTGCACACCTGTAATCCTAGCACTAGGGAAGTTGAGGCAATAGGATCACTGCAAGTTGGAGGCCAGCCTGGGCTACAAAGTGAGTTCAAGGCCAGCCTGAAATACATAGTGAGACTCTGTCTCAAAAAGAAAAAGAACTGTAAGGAGGAAATATCATTCCAACTTTCCTCTTGCACTGCAGTTATTTTAAAAACACAATTTCCACTGGCTTGAACCACCAGTGGTACATGCATGTCTGGCCTATTGGGTAGCCTGAACCACCAGTGATTAGCTATTAACATCAGATGATGGAATTCAAATCAGAGCCACAGGGCAGCAAGGCATACAAATTATGGCCCCGTTGTGAATGTGTTACACATTCGTTAAAATCATGAACTAAGAAAGAAGAACTAAAATCTGTAGGTCTGCAGTCACAGTATTGCATTGCAAGGATAGTAGGCTTTACTGAGCCACCATCTGGCGAGCACTTCCCAGGTGCTGACGGTGGCAGATGCTGGCACTACAGCAGCAGTGCTCTGGAGCAAGTCATACGTTTCCGCATTCTCAAAGTTTTCAGAAGTAGGAAGACAGATGTTAAACAACACAGTTAAAGTGACAATAATGGCACAATTAGGGTATACAGCATGCTATGGGAGCATTTTGCAGGATCTTAATCTACTCTAAGTCATAGCTTGCATGGTCATATCATTTATCATCCAATCTGGGATATGTTTTGGAGATGCCAAAATAATATGTCTCCTAACAATTCCAGAAAATCCAGGACGTAGATCAACCCAGGGAAACCTGGTTCATTATCTCTCCTCCACAGAATAAATCCACAAAGTTTGTAAAACTTTTATTGTACCACATATATATTTTAGACTGTCAGTGATACGCATGTGAATTAAACAAAAATTTAACTTCTAAGTAATTTATAAAATATGTAATGTTATTGCAAGTTTTATGGATTATGAGATATTACATAAATATTTGATGTATGTGATTACAATGAAGAAAAAAGAAAAGGGCTCTTCTTTTCTATCAAATGTTTTGTCCCAGCAATTATACCACAGAGCTAATGTTAGTTGGGGCATGCATATTCTTTCAAGTAATGCATACAAAATAATGCATTACTGGAACAATACATCTTCCATTTGAGAGTTGGAATCCAAAAATTATCTTTATCTGAACACGCTTTGTACTTTCCTAGCTCAATGTCTTTGCTTTGCAGTTTTACTTCATCTAGCGTGATGACACATTTCCTCTTTGCTTAGAAAAAATCCTAGTAACTCTTTAAGCTCCATCTGCACACTTGAAAAATAAAATCAGCCTTGACAATTTGTCTGCATAGTAACTTCTTAGCAGCTGTTATGAGAGCCACCAAGCATGTATGAAAGCATGCAGAACTGAATTAGGACCCTGGGAAACACCCCCTACTTGATCACAGATGGCCCCACTGGGGCAATTCTTTAACCTCACAAAGACTTGCTTTTCTTACTTGTAAAGGAAAGAATTAAAACAACTCTAAGTGATATTAAGAATTGCTGTGAACTTTTAAGACCACAAAAATATATACATGAAATAATTTCATAATTGTAGTTTGAAAAGTCAAACTACATGGAGTGGTGAAGGGGTATATAGGAAACATGAATTGAGAATTGCTGAATTTGTATTTAGAGGTGCATGACACCATTATGTCTATTTTTCAATGTTTGAAATTTTCCATGATAAAAAGGATTTTAATCCTCTAAAGTTCTTTCCAACTCTACATCTCTGAGTCTACATTCAATAAATGTTGTACTTATCAGCAGTCAACTACATATTCCCTTGTGACACTCCTTTGTAGCCTTACTGTTTTTTGTTAGTATTTCATTAGCATGCACTATTTACTTGACCACATATGGCCTTTTATAGACAATGGCTTAGCTTTGGTATATTTAGGTTTCCTTTATTGTATTTCATAGCCAATAAATAACTGATAAATGAGAGAGAGAAGAGGCCAGGTTAAAATATGATTTAAAGTGAGTGAAAGACACAAAATAAGACTTATTCTTATTTAGGTATCAGTGTTGATACACATCACTTACAGATGTTAGAACTTCTCTAGAAATATATAGCTAATGAACATTTTATATTTTTAGAAAGGATTTGTTCAAAACTCTTTTTGAATGCTAAAGGCATTTTAGAAATAAATTATGCAACTGCTCACTATATTGTATGGGAAAAACCTCTAAGAGCATTAATAAGTTTATTCCTCTGGAAGTAGTAGAATTTAAATCAGTCTGCTGGTGATATTTATGTACACATTCTGCACACAAAATATTTAGCCTGCCAGCATCTGCCACTGCCACAGACAGATTCAGATCAGAAGGCCCAGTTCCTTCTCATGAATTTTAATAGACTGTACTCTCAGCTGAGGATTGGCTAGCATTTCCAAGTGGTGATGAATGTGAAAACAGATCAGCCCTCAGAGTAACAGAAGGCCATGTCTTCAAAGGTGGCAACAGCCTGCCTTCTCCAATCGTATCAAGATACTCACTCTCGATCAATCACCAGGCATGCAACATCATTTTCTTCAGCAATAATGTTAGCAGACCTCACGTCATCACTGCAGACAAAAGAGCCAGCTTTCATTAAACATCCATTTTTACTAGAGAATCTACTACTTTATATAAAAGCATAACCCTCAGTTAAGCCTTCTAAAGACTATGCTTTTTTTTTTGTAACATCGTAATTTATATTCAATCCCTTTTAAAAATAGGAAAGAAAACAAAAGGATCTGAAATGTGTGCCAAAAAAGTTATGTGTACAAGGAATTCAGAGAAAATTGAGCTGGAAACAGAGGGATCACTGACTGTAACTGGGTATGGAATCTCATTCTGAGCTCTGCAACAGGCAAAACAACATAGCTCTCCCCTGATCAAAGTAGAATGACTAATTAACAAGGAGGCAGCACAGTAATGAACTGATCAGAGAAAGTTAGGGCAAACAGCCAAGAAATTAATATATGATATAAACTGATCAAAAATGTAACCCAAAGAGGAAGGGTGTTCAATGCCATATCACCAAATTAATTCAATACAAAAATATTATGACTTCAGGGCTGGGGATTTAGCTCAGTGGTTCTGCTGCTTACCTGGAAAGTGCAAGGACCCGAGTTCAATCCCCGGTACCAAAAAAAAAAAATTATGATTCATAGAATGTAAATGTATCTTTTTCCATTAAAATCTTTTTCTTTTTGGTACCGGGGAAGGAAGTAGGGTCCTTGCTCTTGCAAGGCAGGCAGCGGAACCACTGAGCTAAATCCCCGGCCCCCATTAAAAATCTTTGTGATCAGTGAACGGATTATGACTGATAATGAGTTGGAGTGTAATTATCAGCACTGTCTTTCTCAGAGGCACATAATACAGCGGTATATCTTACAACTAATATTTTAGATATGATGAATAATTGTATAGTATATGATCTGATGATGCTTTTCCTAATGAATATCAATAGGTCAAGCATCAAGTAAAGCACATCTTGGGGCTGGGGATTTAGCTCAGTGGTTCCCCTGCCTGCCTTGCAAGTACAAGGTCCCAACTTTGATCCTTGGTACAAAAAAAAAAAAAAGGAAGCACATCTTTAGAAACCTTAACTTACATTAGTTTCCCTACCTCTATTACTGATAAATTAAAGACACTAAAAAAATACACCCCATATGGCAGCCAGTGCTCAGAGATTCATGTAAGGTAACCTAGGAGCAGTGGAAATCAGTGAAGTAGTAACCAGTGAGACTTCTGCATAACTACATAAAAAATGGCATCACCCAAACTAAAGTGCCTTCTTTCATAGTAGGTAGGACAGAAAGTACTCTGGTGCCCATCTCTACCATTCCAAGAAAATCCCCCATCTGCTCACCTGACATTAGAAGACCTGACATAACTACAATCCCACCCCAGTTTATAGGATCCTTGCTGGAAGACAGCAGGAAAAATACTTCAGCTAGGTAGACCTTGGAATCAAAGGCAGAACAGTTTGTGCTCAACTGTATTTGTGCAGTTAGACACAAAGGTATGTAGGAGATAGATAGATAGATAGATAGATAGATAGATAGATAGAGATAGTGGAGATGAAGGCAGGTAGCTCTAGACACAGACAAGATCTTGGATTATGGACCAACTATTTGATCTGTGTGTTCAGAGAAAAGGAGTTATGGTAGTCCTTTCACATAGGAGCATCATGATTTTTCACTAAGAACATCCTCTCCAAATCTTTTAAGTATTAAATGTTCAAAAATAACTTATATTCCTTGCACAGTAACTGTGTAAGTGCCATGGATTTATTTTTGCACAAAAAATTTCTGAAAGAACTCAGGAGACTATTTAATGTCAAGTCATGAAAATATACAGAACATAAGGAGTATGTAGTCACAGGCAGCAGCCCTAAAAAGCAATGGCATAAACATGCATAAACACATAAAAAATGTTTGTTCTCTGCTTTCCTTCCCATTGATTTTATCTTTATATACTTTCATTGCCTTGGGAAGCTGGGTGTTCATATTAAACATAAATTCTCATGTTTCTTGTAGGAAAGCACTATTCTTGGCTTGGTGGAACACACAGCATACATTACTTCTGGTCCAGCAAAAACAAATAACGCACTTCCTTGCAAGAGCTGCTTCATAAAGTTTTGTTAACTTCCAAACTTCAGTTATTTCACTTAGGAGCATGAGAAAAATAAAGCGTAAATGTTAAGAACAAAACATTGAAGCTTTAGATAATGCTATTACATTATGATAGTGCATAAAAAGAAAGACAATTTCCCTACTATTGAAACAAGCTCATTACTAGCTTGAAAATTGGAAAGAGCCATTCAAGTTGTCCTTAAATTCCACTTTTAAATTGCCTACATAATAGCTATAATGTAATTTATTAAGTTTTAGCACTTGGGTTTTATTTTAAAATAAGAGTTTTATAATTTTTGAATAAAATATGTCTTCAGGTAACTTCTCACTACTTGATCGTTGCTCTATAATTATGTAAACTTGTCATATAAATCAGCAGAACTTGGGCTTCATAAACCAAAGAAGAAAAATGAACAGAAACACTGCTCCTTTAAGCATAAATTTAAAATAAAAATACTTAGTTATAAATAAATTTTAAGTGATTTCTTAAATTATTCGAAGTACTTATTTAAAAATGTATATAACTCTAAAAATGTATGTTGCCTCAAACTTAACTTTTTTTTTTTTTTGGTACCAGGGATCAAACTCAGAACCTTGTGCTTGTGAGGTGGGCAGCGGCACCACTGAGCTAAATCCCTGGCCCTTAACTTTATATTTTATACAGTTATTTATATTTAGGAAAATAATTTCTTCAGACATGAGGTTTTATAAGTGTCCCCTCAGCCACCTGATTAGCCAGTAAGAACATTTCTTTCATAAATTAGGTTAATGGTAACTAAACTCTTAACTCAAAAAACTAAACTCTCAGATAAACATTTCAAATGTGTTATTTTGAGTTGTTTCTAAAATGAGCTGATAAAAATCCCTAAAACCACATTACTTTTGACATGTCATTATCTGATATTTAAAATTTTTAATTTTTTAACACACTCTGAACAGGGAAATATTTCAGGCCATAGAAATATAAAAACTTGTTATTGTTTTAAATTATAATTTTCCTTTTTTTTTTTTTTTTGGTACTGGAGATCGAACTCGGGTCCTTGCATTTGTGCAGCAGGCGGCAAAACCACTGAGCTAAATCCCGGCCCATAATTTTCCATTTTTAAAATTGATCTGTACAACTGAAAGTTCTAAGAGAATCTTAATCTTACTTTGACCATCCAATTTAAGGCTTTCCAGTTATTTGCTGTGCAAAATTAGTATACTTGTTTCCTGCATAAAAGTAAATTTTTTTAGAAATTAGTTCAAAATTTGTATTTCATTTGTGGATGTTTGTTGCCATTTATTGGATAGTTCAACTCTAAATGGGTAGTTTCACATGCAAAACAGCCTGAGCATTTTATTTAGTTATAATATATAAATTCATGGCTTCACCTGATCAGAGCTTTCTCTCCAAAGTATTCTCCTGTCTGCAGTGTTTTTATCAGCTGTGGTTGATCATGACCCTCGGTACTCTGTGTGACTTTTACCTAAACAATATTAAGCAAAAACAGAAGAACAAAAAGAAAATCTGAACAAATATCCATTCAACCAAACCCTCCAGACCTATATAAACTTGATGAAGAAAGAAAAAATGATAAGACAGTATCACTTCTGCAGCTGTCAGGACAATTAACTTACCTCCATCGGATGCATCTGAACAATCTCTTGCTAACACAATCCGATGATTACCCTCTGTGAGAGGAAGTCTCCACTCAAACCTCCCCTGACAAGATTAATTATTAAAACATAATCCAGTGATTCCTTCCTAGAGATAATAATGATGGTCTTGTGGGAACTTTTATTACTGCAAGACACCTGAAAGAACTGACAGGTCTATCAAGAATTAAGGTAGTATCAGGAGTTCTAAGTCTGGTGTCCACAGATGGGACAAATTCTACGTCCTGTAAAATGGAATGCAAAATGTGAGCTGGAGAAGAGTGCACAACCTCTGCGGGTATCTCAGGAAGAACCTTCACTGCACGGTCAAAGACCTCAATACAGTATCCCCTATTTGTGCCTAGAATTATTCCAATTCAGCATGGTAACACTATTGCCTCATGCTGATTGGAAATTCTGATTGACATTTATGTATGTCACAACAAATAAAAAATTTTAAAATAACTATAATAAATGCAACTTCTTCATTAGCCAGAATTCCTTCAAAGCACGGGGCCCAGGTAGGAAAGCATTCATAAGAAGTGGCTGTTACTACTGAAGAGTCCCAGAGATCAGAAATTCTTTTGTTCATGTTTTTCCTTTACTGGTGGTCAAGTTCAAATCAGTTTACAAAAGGCAGTGACAGACTTGTGATAATAAAATCTTCCAGGGAAGATGGAACATTATGTAAAATCTCCGACAGCTTAAAGACACAAAGGATCACTTGTTGACTCTTTCCTTTAATATTTCACAAAAGCTTTTTGTCTCTGAGGAATATAAGACTCAACACAGGAACAACATACATGTTATTAACGTGAAAACTAGGTAAAGAAAAAGATGTGTGTGTGTGTGATATTTGATCTGTATGTAAATCAACTCAGACTATTATGTATGAATTGAAATTCTGAGCAACATTGGTTTTCTAGCTTGATGTCTAACCATGACCATCATCATTTGCTGTCTTCTTTCTCCTATACTGGCAGTTTGTCAGTGTTGTAGGATGAAAAATGTTACAGCTGTGTTCTTAGTCCTTTGGACCAAAAATCATATACTCAAAGCTTGAAAGGACTTCACAAATAGCCCAGCCATTATATACAAGGAAACTAAGTCCAGAGAAAGTCAAGTGACATTTTGAAGGTTACTAAAATGTTAGTCTCTCAGCTGGTACCCATCATAAGTTTTTGGTGTCCCAACCCAAACCCAAGCCTCAGACAGAAGCCCTGAAGACCCTTCTAGGTAAAGCGTCTTTACTATTCAATGCAGAGAAGTCCTTATTAGAACATTGTTATGTTTATGGCAAAGTAATTTTGTAAAAACATTTTTTACTTTACCCTTTAATTAGTATTTACCTTTCCTTTGGCCAAAATGAAAAAGGTACTTCCTTCCTCACCCTCTCTAATGATATAATCTCCCTTGTCATAGTACTCCTGTAGGAATGAGAGAGAAAGAAAATGTTAGATCAACCAGAGATGCACAACTGGAGACATAAGGGAAACAGAATTCCTTATTTCTTTGAAATAAGTGTTCCACACACATTTTTTTCTTTTCTTTTTTTCTTTTTCTCCCTCCCCCCACATTGTAACTAAGCTTTCTTTACATTGCCTTCATCAACTATGGAAAAGTAAAGAGACTTTCATTTTCTTGTCTGCATTGATATTATTTCTATAACAGAGAAAATTCACTTGGAATCCTGAATTTTAGGGATGGAGCGCAATGGTATAAGGAGAAGAGAGAGCAAGGTGACAGTCACTAAGCACAGGTGAGCTTTCACCTACACAACCTAAGTACAGTCCATACAAGTGATCAGTGAAAATTAGGACTGGAATTTAGAGAAGAATAAACGATTTTACACACTGAGCTGAAATTATGATCCTTAACGGGTATGAGGAATACTGGCCTCAATTCGTTGTCCCCTGAAGGGCAACAACTGCTAGGAAGACTCCACATGGACACTAAATAGTAGTGTTCTCAATAGCATCCAAAAAACTGAAATACCTAGGAATCATCCTAATGAAAGAAATCAAAGACCTCTTCTCTGAAAACTATGGCACTCTGAAAAGAGAGATTG